CCTGCGCGTGCCTTCGTTATCTCATGTTTCGTCTATCACGCAGTATATATGTCCCGTTAGTACAAAGGGCACCGCTTTCGATCACGGTGGGAGAGCGATGAAATTTTCGATTGTAGGTACGCAATAATGATATTCGGAAGAGGAAACGAGGAAAAAAAAAACATGAAGGTAGCGAAGAAAAAAATTGCCCGCAGCTTCCCTCGGGGGAACACTGAGGAGGATGCGGAGCATATAATTGGTTAACGGGGTGTTAAAGTGCGACTTACTTGGGTCGATGGCTAAATTGGTTAACGTGGTTGTGAAATGGGGTGTTAAATTGCGACTTACTTGGGTCGATGGCTAAATTGGTTAACGTGGTTGTAGGAGGGGGTGTTAAATGAGTGAACACGTACACACGTATGCGAAAGGGCGGCGCTGGTCGAAGGGACGTCGATCATTGTGTTTGTGGATTCGTTGGAATTCATTTCACCGCGACCTTGGACGTCGACGCGCCGTACAAACCAACCGACGAGCGGCAACTGAGCGAGCGAGCGCCGACCTTGAGTATATATACAGCGCGACGGCGCATGCGCTGTCAACTGTCGAATGTTCTCGAAGGAGAAGCGCGCGCGGCACAGATGGTGGGCGACGGCGCGACGGCGCATGCGCGCGCGTCAGCTGTCGAATGTTCGAGAAGCGGGGCGGACGGCGCGGACGGCGCACTACAAGGCGCGAGTATAAGATGCTTCCGCATCTAAAACAGAGAGGACAACCGCTCTTGTCTGGTTGTTCTTTCGCGGGCTTCGTTTCTTTTTAACAGCGAAGTTCTTTAAGCCAGTCGTAAAATTTTGACCCTGCCTCAAAAACACCATCCTCATAACAGGGTATGTGCAACATAAATGTGATAAATCCTGCTATACTCAGTATGGTCCACTACAAATCAACAAGCCAACAGTTAGCCCGACAAATGGCTGCGAATCGACGGCGGTGAGTCGCAGACCCCGCGTGCATACAATGAGATAATACTAGGTAACTTTCCCGTGAAAGGCAACGATGGCTGCAAAAAGAGCCCGAAGCGATGGAAGTCTTACGACAACGATGAGGAGTTCATAGATTTACGAGAGTTGTGAACGATCGGTTTCAGCGCAAGTTTTTCTTCGGCAACCTTGTCGGGTCTTGGACTGTCTGTCGTTAACCTCGAACTTCTCTGCTCTGAGAGTAAACCTGGAAATAACTTAGCTAAATGTCTGGCAACGACCTATAGAAGCAACCAGATTATACCAGAATAGTCCAGTTTCCCATTTTGAAGCATTGCACGACTTGGGACGAGCATCGTGTCATTTTTCGTCGTTAGTTTCCTCTTCTGATAGGCACAAATCAACTTGCCCAAAAAGCTATACGTTATCGTACGCAATAATTAGCACCAGCCGGCCGCGGTATCGGGGCTTAAAACGTATTCGCGGCGAGATCGGGCTGTAGGTGGCAGCACAGTCTCCGCGGAAGTGTGGATATAGGTGGTCGGCGGCGCGTATACGAATACATGCAGCGGCGCTGCATTGCATGTGGTCTGATCTGATTGTCGGCGCGTAAAATGCGTTGACCGCAGTTTACTAGTGATATCTAGACTTCTCTCAACTCAATTGGTGCGCGAAGCTCACGCAACGTTACCATTACCAGCGAGTAAAGCGCGTTCAGCCTTTCAAAGGAATGCTCGTCCTGGGTGACTCTCTTCACGATTTCACACTAAATCATGCTTTTTCTGTATTATTTGTACATATTTAGCTTGCATTCCGCCTGCTGCGCACTGCGGTAGCGTGACTGAACTGCTTATTTACTTCTTTCTCATCTGTGCCCCGCCGCGCTGGCCTAGTGGCTAAGGTATTCGGCTGCTGACCCGCAGGTCGCGGGATCGAATCCAGGCTGCGGCGGCTACAATTCCGATGGAGGCGGAAATGTTGTAGGCCCGTGTGCTCATACTTGGGTGCCCGTTAAAGAACACCAGGTGGTCAAAATATCCGGAGCCCTCCACAACGGCATCTCTCATAATCATATGGTGGTTTTGGGACGTTGAACCCCACATATAAATCAATCTATCTATCAATCAATCTTTCAATCAACTTTCTCATCTGCATACAACGAAAAAGAGAGAAATAAAGAATATAGAAGCCCGCATATCTGCGATGAGTTCAGTATACCTGCGTTTGCATTTATGATTCGCGTATGCATTATCTCGTTTGCTCATTCTGTTTACCATGAAATGTGGTACACTCGGGATGTGTATTGCCGTTAGTCAACTGTGTTGTTGGTTCGTGTTTAGCTTGTGTTCCACCAGCTATACGCACTCTTGTAGCGTGACTGAACTACTGATTTACTTTTTTATCATCTGCATACAACAACAAAAAACGATAAAGAAAGATCGTAGAAGCCTGTATATCTGTGTGCTGAGTTCAGTACCACCATTTACACTTATACGCATGTGCATATTTTTATCATTCTGTTCACCATGAAATGGGGTACAGTTGTTAAGTCTACAGAGCCGTTAGTCAACGGTACTTACTTCAAGAGCGAAATACAATCGTATTGACAACAGAAGGTTGTTAGCGCGATCCTATTTTTTTTTCTTTTTCTGTCAATTGCGCTGTTTATTTTTGCGCCCGCTGTATATTGATTGATTTGTGGGATTTAACGTCCCGAAACCGCCATATTGAAACCGCCATATTGTAACCGCCAAGGTTTCAGATTCCTTATCAATTTGGCAACACCCACCCAGTCTATGATTAATGGATCCATGGGTAAATAATTGCAGGCAGGGAAAGGGGACAAACAGTATGGCGTACAGGTCACAAATACCGACGAAAATACCGTATTTAAGGCTTCGCAGCACATTTCACTTGGGATCATACAGTCGTTTTCAGACATCAGTTCAATTTTCTTTTCACTTTTTCCGTTGATGGTTAGCCAAAATCTACGGGGATTAGTTCTAAGCATAGAGGGGAGGGTAACTTCAAAGAAAGAACGCTTAGCCACGGCAAGCGCATGCGCATATTCATCGGCTGATTCATTGTACGCAGCCCATCGGTCAGTTGACCTCGAGCATTTGGCTTTCCGAAAAAGGCGCTGCTTTTTATTGTGTAGTCGCTTTAGGGTCGGTGTGAACCACGGGGATTGAACAGTATTCGTTATTCTAAGCAGTGGTACATAGTGGTCTATTAACTCAGAGACCTTGGATTTGAACCGATGCCAGTTTTCGTCTACAGAACGCTGATCAAAATTTTGAAACAGTTCTTCGGTGAATATTTCAAGCTCCCTATTTATTGCAGCATAGTCTGCACGTTTATAGTCTCTGAATGTTTTGGAGGTTTTCTGTCGTCTGGGATTCCTGTTGGGAATAGTAAAGTGGATTGATGAATGGTCACTGAGACCAGGTATCACCGAAAGGGATGTAACAAGATTTGGGTGAGTTGTGAGGACTAAGTCTAGAATAGTTGAGCTGGTAGTAGTAACACGGGTCGGGTACTTGACAAGTTGTATTAGATTGAAATCTGAGCACACACTGATAAAAGATGCGCTTTCAGACGAGCTGGAGCTAGCACTTGGTTGGGGTAAACACCAAGAAATATCGGGCAGATTGAAGTCTCCCAGAACAAAGAACACTGCAGCAGGAAATATAATATGTATCTCATTTAAAACATCATGAAATATCTCGGAAAAGCCTGAAGACGAATTTGGAGGCCGATAGCAGGCACAAAGAATGTAGTCTTTGTGGTGCAGGCGAATGCACACACAAATTAATTCTAGTTCAGAAGTGACATTAACTTTGAAAGACACAAATTCATTTGATACCGCAATTAAGACGCCTCCGCCAGAACGGCTACCTCGGTCGTACCGATAAAGAACGTAGTTTTTTGCACCATGCAAAACTTCCCTGCTATCAATTTTCGCTAACAACCAAGTTTCCGTCAGTATGATTACATCTGCCAGGCACGCATGAACAAGGGATAATAATTCGTCACGCTTAATGCAGGAAAACTCACTGCATTGTATGCACTTCCTCGCCGGGCTGCTTTTATGCCAAGAACCGTTGATGCAGAACCCATGCAAACGACGCGCGACCAGAGAATGATATGCGTGACCCGCGTTAGCATTCTATTACAGGCGCACCACGTCTGTCTTCAGTTCTCAATCTCTCGGTTATTATTTCCTTTTGATTTCCCTTTCTCTTTTTTCTGTACTCGGTGCCAACTTATCTCGACATTGTAGCGAAAGCTATCAAAGCGGGGCTCTTGATGTCATTCGTATCATCATGCAAGTAGTACGGTAGCTCGCGCTTAATTTACGTTTTCTTCTCTCGCATCGATTGATTGATATGTGGGGTTTCACGTCCCAAAACCACCATATGATTATGAGAGACGCTATAGTGGAGGGCTCCGGAAATTTCGACTACCTGGGGTTCTTTAACGTGCACCCAGATCTGAGCACACGGGCCTACAACATTTCCGCCTCCATCGGAAATGCAGCCGCCGCAGCTGGGATTCGAACCTGTGACCTGTGGGTCAGCAGCCGAGTACCTATCCACTAGACCACCGCGGCTGGGCGCGCCTGCTGTATAGGAAAATGAGTATTATGCGTCTGAAGCGACGTTATCCAGCTGCCGTCCGTTTCATACACTCCCCAGGTTGCTCAAGTCATACTTCCTTTTCATCTTTAAAGATAGATTCTTGAACTTAATCAAACTCTTTCACGCTAATAGGATGTCTGAGAATAAAAACTCAGTTTCACCGCAGGGACGGATCATTTATTGTGGTAACAAAAGATTGGGAGGTTATACGCAGCCAGGTTAGCAGCTAACTCCCAGATATTTTCTTTAGCATCCAACCTGGCGTAACCCTATTATGCGCCGGCGCGAGGAATCGCGGCCGCTGCTGCAACCACAACAACCTTTATGATGTCTGTAGCACGCAGGTATATCAACGAACTGTCTTGTAGTGAATAGGGCAAGGTGAGGCAAAACACGACATAAGTTTGAATATACTGAATGCAGTTCTTTTTTTATTTCACGTGTTACCATGAAACGTCAATAGGGAAGCATTCCTTTGGGTACAAAATATGTGCTACATAAATGTGACCGTGCTACATCTGTTCGAATGGGTATTATAAAAAGAAATAAAAATGCGCCATTTTGCCCCAACCTGCGGGGTCAAACGAGGCAGTGTAAAAAAAAAAAAAATCTTTTCACGTGTTGCAGTAGAGCCACTTGAAATTCCCTCCGTGGGCCCTCATCCAGTTTTTTTGAACCCAGCTTTTACTCATTTAATCCAGACAGAACCCAGCTCTCCTGTGCTCCAAGCTCCTTGCTTATAAACACCGTCAGTCAATGCGCTAATGTTGTCTTTTGTTACATGCTAGAACATCATTAGTTTTTTTTTTTCACGATTGGAAGGCATGTATGGTGTGACATGTCTTCTTTGTCTCTTTTTGCCGGTTTAATGCAGAACTGCGAGGGCATTACGGGATATTAAACTTCGTCAGCCGGGCTTTGTGAGGCAATAAATTTCGAAAATTCTATCGCTTGTGATTTTTGAATGTTAGTATAAGAAATGTGTCATTAAAACTCGTTTCCAACATGTGTTTGTGAACGGCTTGTCTTGGAGATTCTTCCCATTTTTTCATGGGCCTCTTGAGAGCATTCGTGGGAACGCCGAACAACCTAAATGCAGCGTGAATGGAATAAGTTCTGTCCTTACCACCAATAAGTGCTATTTCCAGTCAAACTCCTGCCAAGAAGCTGTATATGATATTTTCTTGTACGTCCATACCATTCTAAACAAATAATATAGAATATATGATGCGTGTAAGTAAATGTTTCACTTAATAAGACACTCTCAATGGCAGCTTCATGCCTTTTTGTCACTTTTTGCCCCTCTGGCATGCTCTAAATAAAAAAAATGTCTGCTTTGGCCCCAGTCACCAAACGAACTAAACTTTTTGTCGTAAGTAGCTAGAAGTTTAAAGTAACACCATAAATACCTACATTGTTGTATTGACGCCGGAGTAGCTTTATGCATGAATCATAAAATTTTGTAGCGCGAAATTTTACGCTTTTTCAAGGGTCACTAACGCACTCACATTAGCCGCACAATTTTTCCTGCCTGGACTATGTGAGTAATCATGCGCTTTTACACATAAAAAAGGTTGACTAGAGCAAACGCCTATTGCTGAAATAGAGAAACAAATAAAAATATATTTGTGTTCGCTACACAAGTCGGCAAAGTCAAAATGCTGCCTTTTGCCCCGCGTCTCATTTTGCCCCGCCTTACTCTACGAGATGGTTTCCTTGTAAATCCGTAGTTTGATCAACCGAGTGACCAGGAACAGTTGATCAGACTAAGGAGTTCTCATCGGTTGGGTGCATCATCCCCAGATTAGCCTTCTCCCCTCCTCTGAGTGGGCATATCTTCTTGTAGAACATGAGATCCCTTCCTTCCAGGCCCCGATAATCAGCTGTCCTTGCACGCTTTCTCTCGTCCATAGGACGTATGACTCGTGCAGGGATGTTATCGAGATGAATTTCATAAGGAACATTGCTATGGCAGGAAAAGCACACTGCGTTTTTTTTGTCCGTGTTCATAACTGCTATCGCAGTAACAACAATAAGAACAAAACAAATGGAGAAGCCTCATGGCACATCGCACTTACCCGTTACGTCTCCAAATGAGAGAGAGAGAAAACAAAGATACGACAACACCCATTCCAGTGAAATCAGAAATATTGACTGATGTTGCCCTTACAGTAGATGATGGCACGAGCCATAGTTCAGAACAGCGAGCAAGATTTATCCTAAGACAGCTGTGGCCGTTTCTTGATAATGTACACAGCGGCTTGAAGGTGAGGGAACACTTTTAGCTAAAAATGTTCATGCGCAATTTGTGCGTGTCTGGTGTGAATCTGTTGGCTGATAGACTCTCTCTTATTTCAGCTAGCGGACAAGAGCACAACGTATAATTTCAGATGAATTCTTCTGAAATACACATTGAGGAGGATAATGCGTTCGCGCTTATCATGAACAGGTATCAGCAGAGGCACAACTTCTAATAATAATACGCCATTCTCTCACATTCTCTCAGCCTTGTTTGACTTTACCATCGACCAACGACGTTTCCTTGTTGGCGCCCTTTTTCAGCATGTACGTCTGGACGTAGAAATTTATGAACAATACGAGTCCGAGCAGTAGCTGCACGACACCAAACATCGCCAGTGGCCTTGGATAGCCGCAGTCATAGAATATCGGAATAGAATTGTGCACAACGATGAACACGAATTGTGCAATCTGCAGGCTTGTCAGGTACTTCTTCCACCACAGATACGGTCGCACTGACGGCCCAAGCGCCGCCAAGAAGTAGTACGTGTACATAATCACGTGCACAGCCTGGTTTATGAGCACTGCCAGAAGTGCCTGGCCCTCGTTACCGAAGTTCAGCCACACCCAGCCGCTGAGCACCACGAGGAAGTGATGGATGACGTGGAGTGCCGATATCTGCGAGAACTTCTTGCGGGCCACGAAGAAGAACGTGTCGAGGAAGTCGGCGATGCGGACGTACAGGTACCACCAGTTCAGCTCCGCTTCCTCCGCAGAGGGCCCGTCCCTGTTGATGCCCTGACAGAAGAAGCTGTAGCCGCCGCCGAAGTAAGTTGCTCTGGCGTACCGGTAACAGAAATAGGCGTTAACCAACGCCGTCATGGCGTTGTAGGTCAGGATCGCGCTTCGAAGCTTGTACGGTTCGCGATTCTTCATCCATCGGGGGCCGCCGATCTTGGCCAGGTACACGTAGGCAAATAGAAGCGGGATGATGAGGCGCCCCTCAGTGACCACGCCCCATCTTTCTATCCTGGGGTCTCGGAAGGACCACACGTAATGGTACATGTCACGTAGAGATGCTATATATGCTAATGCGGACGTCGCCATGTAGATTTGCGTGTGAATGCAACTTGTCAAACGCCACGTGTGGTCTTACACGAGGCTTGGTGGTGACTGTGATTGCTGCGAGGCGTGGGAAGGTCCGTCGTGGGCCGTTGTCTCGTAGTGTCGTCTTCTAGTGAGAGGTCTCTGCGAAATGTCAAGCTGTCTTGCGGTTCCTTCACGTGCCTGAGCCCGGTGTACGTGTACGGATAGACGAGACGTACTTAATGCAGGAAAACTCACTGCATTGTATGCACTTCCTCACTTTGCTGCTTTTATGCCACGAACCGTTGATGCAGAAGCCATGCAAATGAGGCGTGACCAGAGAATGATATGCGTGATCCGCGTTAGCATTTTATTACAGGCGCACCACGTCTGTCTTCATTTCGCAATCTCTCGGTTATTATTTCCTTTTGATTTCCCTTTCTCTTTTCTGTACTCGGTGCCAATTTATCTCGACATTGGAGCGGAAGCTATAGAAGCGGGGCTCTTCATGTCATTCGTATCATTATGCAAGTAGTACGGTAGCTCACGCTTAATTTACGTTTTCCTCTCTCGCATCGACTGCTTGATATGTGGGGTTTCACGTCCCAAAACCACCATATGATTATGAGAGACGCTGTAGTGGAGGGCTCCGGAAATTTCTACCACCTGGGGTTATTTAACGTGCACCCAGATCTGAGCACATGGGCCTACAACATTTCCGCCTCAATCCGCATCGTTAACGCGTTTAGAAAATTATATTCATGAAAATGTGAATGGCCTAGCACAACAAAACAGGCGATTACGTCAGGTCTTTGCCACGTTACGCAGCGAGCGTTGTAGTATAGGCGTTAATGTAAGAGTTCTGGCGAGAGGAAAAAGAATGCGATCGACACGGTTTGGGTGGATCCGTGAAACACATTCAATACGCACGCGAGAATTTTCCGGTGGAAAAAAAAATAAAGTGGCCGTGGTCCAGGAAAAAATCGGGAAAGAACAAAAAAAAAAAGAGAGATTCTTGCAGTACAAACGTTTATAGTTGGCTTTCCTTCATCTCTCGCTACATTGTGAACGTGTTTCCCGAAAGTCCGCCGTATTGGTTATTTGCTGAGTTAGCGGCAATGAAAAGAGGGAAGAAAGGTCCTGGAAACTGTGGCATACACCCACGCTGGGATATTGGCCAAGAACTGGGTAGCTCTGATGAAATACTGTTAATCTGTTAGCTTACGTTTTTTTTAAACTAATGAGAGAGCAACGCCAAAATTTAAATCAGAAATCGACAATTACAAATAACGGATATAGAAAATAAAGCGGATGGTTTCTGAAACAATAATAAACAATTGAATGAATAAAGCAGTTTGGAAAAAAGCTATTTAAGAGCAATAATCATTTCTACAGTCTATATCTCTTTGAAGTTTTGGTAAACTCCTGCAAGGCATCGCTAACTTTCCCGACACTGAATCTTAGGGACAAAGCCCCCCCAAATAAAGTATACATTTGGAGCGTTTAACTCCGATCTTACGAGACGGAAGACAGCATCTAATGTGATTTTGCGCAATTCAGCGTATTTTTTACAATATATCAGATAATGGTCTGTTGTCTCAGGGACTCCACAAAAACCACCAATTAGGGGAAGCAGCCAGATCAGCTCTGTGTAAATAAAAATTGAGATATCACTTGAATCACAATGTGTTGCACTACGTCTTCTCTTGCAACAACAAGAGAAGAAACCTGCCAAGTTGCCTATACCAAGCTATTTTGTTTAACAAACATAACCCTCACCACTGGAACTGAATGTTCAACAGGAAAAATATACTCGTTGCACACATACATTTTGTCATTTTGACGGGTGGAAGCATGGATGGACTGATGGACGCATGTACGGACGCATGGATGGAAACACAGGTGGACCGATGGACGTACGTATGGACGGACTCATGGGCGGATGGGTAGATGTATCGGTGGACGGAAGCACGGACAGACGCACGGATGGAAGGAAGCACGGACGGAGAGACCAACGAGCGCGTGGGCGCCCCACAAGCACTTCGGCTGCAGAAACTGAGACGGCGGAAGCAAATTCTTGTAATTACAGCCTTGATCACCCAAGCACGCGCAATCGGACGATCGACATCCGCGATACAAAAATACAGAGCACGAAGAAACGTGACCGGCGTCCAGCTGCTGTGGTTGAGTAGCCTTCTCCGCCCGTGCTATTATGTCATCAAGGTAATCCTGTAAAAAAAGTTTTAGATTTACAGCAGTTAATAATATTATATCTCAGGCTCAGCGTCACGAAGCCACGATATCATGATGAGAAACGCCGTAGTGGAGGGCTCCGGACATTTTGGCTGTTTGGTGTTCTTTAACGGGCCACCGGCATCGCGCAGTGGACAGGCATCTGGCAGTTCACCTCCACCTAATGCGACCCCCGCGGCTGGGATCGAACCCGCGACCTTCTGGTCAGACGGCGAGCACCATAACCAGTGTTCCAGCGAGGCGGACGAATTAAAATAAACATTCCCTTGCCCTGCAGGTCTCCCCAACCAACATTCTCCTGAGTGCTCCTTTTAGGGGCGAAGCAGGCACAGGGGATGCGATATGAGAGATAACGGTACTCGGAGTGTTCACTAGATGAACGCACGGATAGGCGGACAGACAGACTAGAAAACGGATGGACGGATGGACACACGGACCGACGAATGGGCGCATGGATGGACGCATGAATGGTCGTGTGGATGGACGGAAGCAAGAACGAACGGAGGGACGCAAGCACGGACGGGCTGACGGGGACTCTTTATAATAATATCTTCACCCGCGGGCTCCTTCGACAAGTGGTCGTCGTCACGCCAAACGAGATTGTCACGATGTGACTCGAAAATGTCGTCACGTATATACGACGAGATCGTCATGAAGTAGCGACATCTTTGCCTTGTATCGCGATATCTCCGGCATGTGATGGAACGCTTGCCGTGTGGAGGCTGTAAGTAAATCTTTGTGAAGTTTCTTTTCAGCCTCTCCATGCTCGCTCCGCGTCCTCCACCCCGGGTCTCCGGTGCCTGCAACGGCTGGTCGGAACACGCGTCACAGTGCACGGACGTCTACAACCCTTCGCTTCCACAGAAATGCGACCGCCGCGCCCCGAACCCAACCAATGATCGACTTTTGGGTCGCCAGTTGAGCACCGCGGCCAACGAGGCCCCAGCGGCGACCGGTTCATGCGGAAATTCACTCGTGCTTCCCTGTCACTTGTTATAGGAGCAACGTGTCCTCCCACCAACACACCTCGCTAAGAACGAATGGCGCCGCCGCGTTGGTCTACTGACTAAGGTATTCGGCTGCTGACCCGCTGGTCGCGAGATCGAATGTCGGCTGCGGCGGCTGAATTTTCGATGGAGGCAATAATTTTGTAGGCCCATGTGCTCTGATTTGGGTGCACGTTAAAGAACCCCAGGTGGTCGAAATTTCCGGAGCCCTCCGCTACGGCGTCCCTTATAATCATATGGTGGTTTTGGGACGTGAAACCCCATGGCACATATCAAATCATAAAAAAGATCTGTCGCTCTGTGTGCCAGAGCAGAATATATACCCAATGGCGTTTGTAAAACCACAAAATGAAACTACGTTACCATAGCAACGGACCTTCATGCGTCAGAGGGCTTCACCGAAAACGCTCGCGCATGGACAGTGACAACAGCGATACAAACACGCTTAGCGTCTATACGAAGGTATTTCAGCCTAATGCCATGTTCAATGTCGCAGACGTATACCTGAGGTGCGGCGGTAAGAAAGATGTAAGGGCTTGCGAGACAACTATGTGAACAGCGATACCTTTCAGCGTCAGCATTTCTCGGCACATAACGAATATTTCAATGAGTGCAACACTCTGATCAAAATGCCTCCGTTTGGTTTTTTTTTCTTTGTAACTGGCTTGCTATTTATTTATTAACTGCGATAGCGTTAAATAGCTTGCTTCGCAGAAATTTCGGCGTCGGTGTTGGCGTCGTTGGTTGTGCGCCAAAAATGATAATGTTAGGCGTGCCCAAAAAATTTGAGAATGATGCAAATAAAATAAATAATAAAAAATGGCAGCATATCCACGGAATGAATGATGGAGAGTGGGGCGAAGCATTCGTCCGTCCATGCGTCCGTCTGTGTGACCGTCCATGCGTCTGTTCGTGCGCCTGTCCCTGCGTTCGTTCATGCATACGCCCCTGCGTCCGTTCATGCGTCCATCCATGCATCTGTCTGTGTGTCCGTTCGTCCATCTATTCAAGACTCCAAGTACCACCATCTCGCATCTTTTTATCATATATTCGCCATATAGAAGCACCGCCATTCAGTGGACATTCCAAGGACTAAACGAGAGGTGCCACACGCACACTTTCTTACGGCTTGCGCTTCGGGTCTACTTCCCACCTTCAACCACCTTGAGTTCATGGTATATACTAGTTCACTGTATTCATGGCACTGCGGCCCAATGCTCGCTAAACCTTTCTAAAACTAAGGAGGTTACACCCAGCGAGTATAATGTAGAAACCCCTTCTTGTCCGATAGTGCTCAATGTACATGCCAATGGCTGCTAATAGGGATCGCAGCGTGCGCGTTGACTAAATACCGAATGCTCCTGTCTCTCATTCCCCATTAGCAGCCATTGGCATGTACATTGAGCACTATTTTTTATTGTTAAACAACGCACAGAAGAAATATCTCACCAGCACCACCTTGGAGGTCAAATGTTATACCTATTTCGGGTATGTGCCACTGGTGGTTACGTACTACGAGAGACGCCCAAGCCACGCTATAAGGAGCTTCGACACTTTAACAGGAAATAACCAGGGCACTTGAATTTAACTTTCCGTACTACGTACGTCGATATCTACTCATGGGCGTTTTTACTGGGCGCCTGTGGTATTTGACAAACTCTGCTGTCATGCCGTACAGGATCGCGAGTAAGGTCATGTCCCAAATAATTAGGTTTTTCTGGAATTCCAAAACGGCCCTCGTTAAATACGAGCAGTTGGGGTTGCCTCACGAGAAGGGTGGATGGAACATCCATTCGGTGGTCGCCCTCGCGGACACGTGTGCTTTGAAGACGACCCTTAAGGTCCTGCAACTTCAGGAGGAACACCCCGCCAGGAAACTGGCAACATATTTCTTGGGAGTGCCGGGTCGTTTGTTCCTGCAGACGCAACCCGCGGGGCCTAAGTCAATCAACCCGACGCCTTTCTATAGGCATGTAGTAGGAATTTACAAGCGCATAGCCG